ATCGAACATGGCTGAGCAAGGCGAAGTTCCAGATCATGTAAATCGAATAAGAACGCGTGTAGTCCTTGAATCGGATACTGTTAAAAACGTAGGCAATCAGTCTACTATGTTTCAATTTTCGTTGCTAGTTTAAATCCAATTCAAACAGGTTCTCTCTTCACCCCACCCTCCTTCCACTGCTGAAGGGTAAACTGAAAGCGGAACTACTTCCCTGGGGTGGCTTCATCTCTTGTAATAAAATATTATATTTATTATTTATTATTGGAATTATTGAAATTATTATCGATCGTATTATTGTTATCATTGTCTTCGTTCTTTATTTTCGTTACCGATATTCTGATGTAAGGATAAACCCTAGTGATTAATAAGCAAGTTGTCTTAGGGGTAATATCTTGTCGACTAATAATCTGGGCTGAGAAGTATTTGATTATCATTGTTATTATACTCTGAATTGACACTTTGATGTAAGCTCTTCGCCGATTAATAAGCAAGTTGCCTTTGGCGTACGTTATGTTTAGTACAAAAAAAGCGTTCATATTATAGACGATATATAACACCGAGAGTTTAATATACTTGTTAGAAGTTGATACTCGTTCGATTCATTAAAGTTTATTGTGAACTTATTATCGTTGCGAAGCTATTGTGAATTTATCGTTATTTTGTTTAAGTTAAAATGTTATTTCGTTAATGAGGGCCAGAATGTTAATAGAGTATCGTATCGGCCATAGAGTGTGATAAAGACACGAAATGAAATGCGGATACTCTTGATGAAAATCCAACAGGAGCATTACAGTGGAAAGAGAAATATTAATATGGCGGCAGAAAATAACTTTCATAACGAAATATTATTTACGATATAATATCTCACGAATATTAATATTTTATGTGAGAACGAAATTTCTTCGTCCGTTAGTATTCAGGCACATATGTTGTACCTGACCTTCGATGGTATACTATTCGTCTTCGTCCGTATGATGAAACTGCGATGCGATGTTATTATTAAAGGGACCCATTATTAAATATATATCAACAAATTAATAGGCCATAAGAGTAGCGATTAAATTAAAAACGTTGTAATTCATATTTATAAATATTACGAATAGTATAGAACGTCGGATATCTCTTGCCTCAGACGTATGCGAGAAGTAAACCCATTGTAAGTCTGCGACAAGTGTACTCTGAAACATGGATTATAATAGTCAACGTAATCATTCGTTTAGCAATAGTGTAATCATTCGTCTAGAAAAAGAATTGTTCTCTAAAATGGATAATTAGCATCCACAGTATGTGCGATATTGAGATCTGAATAATGTAATAAAGTTGGCTAAGTCGGTGGTTTCATCACAAAGCATCGACACTACAGAGCCCTATTGTCACGGTGAGGGGACGCAGCCGCCTCGCGAAGAAAACCGGTGACGCTCCCTTCGTTTAACGCTCAGTCCAAGAAAAGGAATAATAAATATTATACCTACTAGTATTATAAACATAATAAAGATGAAATATTTTATTATACATTAATAATCAATTGCTTTACCATTATTGTCAATTATTATTTGACAAAATAATTTATTTATAAAGCTGGATTAGGTAACATAAGCTTGTAATTCTTCAACCAAGAACCACTTTAACTCACCAATATTGTCAAATGCACTTTTCTGTATTCTATTTGACAATACTTCATAGATTTTCTATTACTATAAGATTAAGGTCAAGGCTGTTGGCTGTTCATTCTAAAAATCAGGAAATATCTCAGTTTCAAAACATTTAGAAATACAACTTGTATGCCTTAGTATGGCGCACGTTTTTCTCATCAGCTCCGACTCTCGTTGGACGGCCCGCCAGTGGCGCAAAATTGTGCTTATCCCTACCAATATGTTCATTTCCCAATTATTTCAAAAAAAAAAGTGCGGGCATTGACTATGGGTATACAATAAGAACTTAGTTATTTACATGCCATAAATAACTTTGGTTTTTTTTTAATCGTTAATGGAACTCTTTACTTTGTAGCGATTCGGAATCAATAATACGATATTTCATAATCTTGCAAATGTAATATATTCAAAATTGTTAATTCTCTACGATTTCATTAATCGAAATATCTTCTATCGTTATTTTTATTAAGCAACGATTATACAAATTTGAGCATCAATGTTATAGCTATGACTTATTTAACAAATGATTAATATAGAACTAATATAATATTAACTATTTTGCTATATTGTATGGTTGATGGAATTGTAAAAAACTTTGATACATTGTCAATGGTATGATTAAAAAGTTTTTTAATGCTGTAATAATGACTGTCCCGGCGATAACGATTAAAAAAAAACCCAAAGTCATTTATGGCATATACGTATAAAAAATAACTAAGTTCTTAATGTATAATTTTCCCCAGCATCGCCATAAAATTTTACGTTCACATGATAGTTTAACAAAATTTTGAACGTGAAATTTTCGTGGTGCCGCTGGGGTATGGTGCAAGACACCTAAAGCCCGAAATAAAATACCCAACTTTCAAACCCTAAGACTTTTATATTAGAAAGTTTGGAGAAAAACTAATCTGTAAGAACGATAGAGCAGGCGAAGTAGAATAAAAATTACGGTTTAAAATTCTTAATCAACTAAAAAACTTTTGAGTTTTAGGCATTTGAAAAGCAACAGTTTTCCTTAAGTTTCTTAAAATTTTGGACGTCCAGTTTGAACAATTATTTGTGTAACAGTACAGTATCCAATCAAGTAAAAGTTTAGCATTATTTTTTCTTTATTGTTTTACCAGTTGATTGGACATTTGTTTCTTTATGCTCTTCCTCGTCTTTAATAATTAACCCTCCAAGTTGTACCACTCTTGCCCAAAAAACTCATAGTCTACACCAACTTTGATTAATGCGTCACGCCTCTCCTTTTGATCACTCAACTTCAAACTTCGCTCTACACGATCTCTAAATTTGTCAGAAGGTTTTATATGTTCTTTTTTCATAAACAATGTTTCTCGGCTATATTGTTCGACTACCCGGCATGATTTATGTTCAACTCCGTTTGATCCCTTTTGTGTAAAATGTGTACCTATCGAGCCAGTGAATGGTAACCTTTATATCATCAATTATTATTATGCCTATTATTATGTATTAAGCTACTCATCAAAAAATTCTTACCAGCCATATTTAAATTAAATTTCCATTCAATGCCATTTCCACAGAATTCCTCGCTATTTGCTTGAAGTTCAGATTTACTAAAACCAGCGGGTCGATTTTTACAAATTCTGGTTCTTTAATAATAAATTCGAAGGCTACGTTGTCAGACTGTTTTGGTCCATTTCATCCCAGTAAATGCCACAATCTAGCCTTTTCTCTTTAATCAACGAGGCATTACTACTTTAAGTATTTCGCTCGCTTAATGCAGAGAGTATTGTTATCGCCAATTATCTCGCCGAGATAAATATTCGCTTCTTCGCTCGTTCGTATAACATTTGGGCCTCCCTTGTTACAAAAGCACATATCGGACTTCATGATGGATTTGCTATTTTCATCACATTGAGAGAGCATCTCACGGATTTCCTTGAGCGTCATTGATTTATTTAATTTCACCGCTGTCGGTTCTTCTGAATATGGGCAATTGAGAAATTTATATTAATCAGTTTGCAAAATATGTCCATTATATGCAACTGGTAAATTAACCCTAAACTGCTTTTTAAAACTGAATTTATAAAATTGCTAGACTGAAGCCGAAACGCTCGTACACAAACATCAGCAAACCTTTTTATTATCTTTATCAAATTTACATATTACTGTATTAGGAGAGGTTGAATATCAGTACAGTCAACTGCCTATAATTCGACCCCCTTTAATTCGATTTTCCGATAATTCGAACGTTTAGAGCGGGACCCGAT